ATCACCAAGCGGTCCTAGGTCAGTCATTTCCACAAACCCACTCGACGCGTACTCTTCAACGGCAGCTGTGTACATCTGATGTAACTCTGGGTTGTCAACGAGCCTTTTGCGCAATGACATCAGTCTTCGGTAAGCGACAGGATAGTTGTTTGGCAAATGTGGGCATGCGCTTTTCCATGGTGAATTGAGTTGATAATGTGAACCACATTTAACGATAGATGACTCCATCTGCTCTAATGCGCGTTTATCCTCAACAGACATTCCGCGTCTTGAGCTACATGGCTCAGTGAATTCCAACTCATACATCCTTTCAAGAAAGCTCGAAGTAGAGTCTTCTACACTGATTGAGTTGGTGAAAATGTTCGTTACGCCTTTCCCCCCACCGGACCGAGCAGGATCCAACCTAACGGTGTTCGTATGGCAAAGGGGTCTGACGGTTTTCCATACCGATGCTCAAGCACCCAGTGGGCTTTCGGGACATTCATGCCAATAAGCACTCCGACTCCTTCATCACAACCATCGATAAACGGTAGGTCCTTTAAGTGTTCCCAACTGCGCAGGCGTTCTGGCTCCGGTATTATCCTCTGTACCTTAGGCATCCTTTTGACGGCCCACGCATGATCCACATGCAGTGATTTACCTCCTTCCAGCGGTTGCAACTCCAGGCGTACAACTTGCGAGCACATCGTTGAATTACCGTTAACCGTTGCTATTTGTACCACTGACGGTCTGGCTGGTAATTCAAGCCTTTGCAACAGCTGTTCATCGACAAGTGACGAATCAGATCCTGGGTCAAGTAAAGCATTGATCACCAGTGACCTGGTTTTTCCACGCAGCAGAATTGGAATAATCCCTAAAGCTATTCGACCCCACGACACATTCGTTTCGTTTACCACAGCTCTTGGTGAAGTTAGTTGGTTCGTCTTGGCTTCGTGTAGTAAAGGATGATGTTTCAACTGGCAACCGTTGAGTCCGCACGTGACTCGGGATCTGCAAAGCTCAGACGTGTGGTTAGCTTTGAGGCACAGTTCACATAGACTCTTTCCAGAAACGAGCAGCAAGCGTTCGGAATGATCAAAGGCTTGGAATCGAGGGCACTGATCAAGGTAATGGTGCGCTGTGCACGCGACACACGAGGGCGCGCGTCTCTGAGTCTGCGGCACTGTTCCTCCGGTTGCCAAGGTGGTTATGCGATTGCCACGGCTTTGAGGTCTTTCTGCCGTGTAGGGTCCTTCAGTCCTTCTAATGATTTCATTCGAATACATTGCCTGAGTAGTAACAGTCTCAGCCACGTCACAAACAAACTGGTACAGGTCTTTAAAGGCGGGCTCTCTACAAGTGCGGAGGATACTGGTAGCTTTTTTTGACCAATCGAGCTGAAGTGAGTAAGGCAGTCGCCTAATCACCGCCGACACCGTCACAATCGCGTTCAGATCGGCCTCGTAATTTAGTTGTTGCAGCGTATTTAAGCAAGTTTTCATCTGCCCGGCTAATCTATGGAGCGCTTCCGAATCATTCGCCTTGATCGATGGTCCTTTCGATGTAAGCTCTGGCAATCAAGTGAGGGCGGCCGAACCTCAATTTGAGTGTCTCCATGGCATCAAGAAAACCCTCTTCCGGATCCAATATAACACAACTCTCAATAGCCTCGCGTGCCTGGCCTTCACAGTAATTAATCAGATATGAAAGTCTCACACAAGGGTTAGAAGTAATACTCATAACATTGGCTTGGAAACTTCGTATAAACAACCAATATTTCATCGGATCCCCGTCGAAACGTACAATTTCCCTTTTTGGTAGACCTGCGATAGCATCCGGCGCAGATGGAACCAATTCGTTGAACTCAGGCGGCGGCATTCGAACCTGTGAAAACTGGGCGAAATCCCGCGCCGTATCCGACAACACCATCCGTCTACGTCCACCATCGCTTTCTGTGAGGCCTTCAGCATAATTATTAGACATGGGAAATCCAGATAACTCAGTCAGAACAAGCATCGATTTACCGTCCAGCATAACTGCTTCAGCACGTACCTTATTTGCATCATTAAAGCTTAAAGCTTCCAGACGACTTTCTAGTTCCGCAATTCTACGCATTGCAACAGAGAGCTGATCAGACGTTGTCATAACTGCGTTATCCTCCCTGTGCTGTGAATGCTCTGACAAAGAATGCCTCCTTGATTCGTTCATCGGAGCGCGAGCCTCTATTCAACTTGTGTTACGGCAGAGAGTATGAAGCTAATCGTATCACCTAACTAACGCACGGTCTGGGCAGTTAAAATGCAGGGCAGTGGGCGGAATGAGTATACTGAATAACCGTGGTTCTACAATAGCAGTAATAAACAAAAAAGAATACAATTAACTCACGAATAGGTAATGCGACTCGCAAATTCGGGCAGCAATTATTCCACGTCAGCAGTTAAGTCTGCGCAAATGGCGAATAGTCCGTAAAATTGGCACAGTAAAACAAATTACAACCGATGAGACGCAAACCGTAAGTTCACAACAATTAAGCAAAGAAAAAAAGATAATAAATGCAGAAAAATTGCAGGGTTTTATCAGTTTGTTAAAGCCGAACATTTGTGCATGAACAGGTAAACTCGAGTACCACACCGTCCAACGGGAAAAATCTAAAGAAATTGAACTACTGGTAAATGTGCAGTAGTATAGTTCAGAATCGAGAATTTAGAATTCACAATAATCATAATGCGCACAGGCATGATAATAGCATGTAATTTCTTTGGCGCATCGTTCAGAGATAGCTGAATTCATGAACACATATGGACAGCAGAATCGGAGGGGTGTGGTTACGGTGTTACCCCTCAACACTCCATGTTGGTGGTGGTCCCAACCGAGGTCACCTGTCACCATCTTATCACACGGTGGTTGCACCAAGTCCAGCCGTCACATCAACGATGGCATTGATAGTAAAAAGATATACTGTAATAGCAGTGGATATGCATCCAAGGCAAACTCTTACACTACACTTTGGCTTCGTGTACTACGCTTCCATTTTCCAGTGGACCATTGGATCTAATAAATGCCGCGTATGGAAGATGGGAACGACGATCAACAAATTGCGTTTTGAAAGCATCTTTTCTGTGCATCATATGGCTTCAAGGAAAGCGGCTTGGCTAATGACCATCCGAGTTCTTACCATCCTTCAGTGGTGATGGAATAAGGCCATCTGGTCCAGACACTTTCGACAGTGCTGTTCACGTCCCGATTGCTTTAAATGTGAGAGGTAATATGTAACTACTCAGGCAATTGATGTCAAAGTAGACATACGGAACCGATTTTCAGGACTTTCCCTCCAACCCAAGATCTGCGCGGGTCTGTGAACTTTTCTCAGTAGTTGCCGCACTCAGTCCTTAGATTTATGCTGTGGTTGAGTTAAAATGGTATGCCAGCACACCGACTTCCGCGTCGTGTGTAGTTTGCGCGATACGAGTGTGGATGGAAGAAGAGGAGGAGAGGCCAAGCGAGTACTTGGTCAAGAGGAATGAAGTCCCTCATTTCAAAGCTAGCGTTTGTTGGTGTTTTCCCAGTGCGTTGCTGGAGTCCGAAGAACAATGAACACGTCTAGTTGAATACACTATTTGACCTGGCGAAGAGGCCACCTCAGTTGTGTTTGTGTTATAAACTTCTTTGTCCCTTCTTATGCCTCTTATTTTCCCTCTCCAACCACCATCTCTCTCTTGAAGCATAATGTGTTACCAAGCAGTATATCTGCTAGAGAGGCGGGCCCAGCCAATGTCCGAATACGAGATCGCAAACGTGTGTGGGTTTCCTGTGGAGTACGTGAGCTGTCTGCTACATGTGAAAGCACGAGCACGGTACAAAGTCAAACTGTTCGGAAAGCAGGCACGAGTTTTTGGCCAACGAATACAAGCCAGTTCAGGCGAGAGTTTTGGCTAGCAAATACAAGTCAGCGCCAAAGGAGGCAGTGCATTCGGCCAAATATGGAAAAACCGTGGAACCAAAATCACTGACATTGGCTGAGAGCCAGTCGCATAGCTAGGCTTCCTAAAAATAGTACGTTTCGTTACCTAATAAATACGAGCGGTCTGTCGTGTAGAATATACTCCCTGTTACCGAGTCTTGGCCTTTTTTCTGTATCCCGTTGGTTGGCTGGTGCGGGACTGAACAGTCAGACGGTCGTAGCCTAGCAGGTTCCGTGTTAAGGAAACAGTACTACAACAATATCGCCTGTTGTTTTTTGTATTCTGTAATATTTGTTATCTCCCGATTTCGTGTATCTACTTTTTTATTGCGGCGCAATAGCAAGTGTGTTTCTCACCTTCACCCAATGTGTAATGATGATAAATGGGCACGATGCATTCGGCCTTTTCCGTCTCATTAGGCTTCGCTATCCATCATCGCTCCTTGTCCACCACAGTGCATTCATTTAGTTGCCGTTTCAGAATGATGCGGACACCCAGAATCTGATTGCTCACAGGGACCACTTCTGCTCTTCCAACGACTTAATCGAGACTTTAGAAATCCGGACGGTATTTCGACGCTTCATTACAGTCATACCTGCGGTTAAACCTAGATCTTCTTCATTGCGCATTAGAGGGGACAGTAATTAGCATTTGGCTCATTCGCTGTTGCTGACCATCTAACCTAGACTGATGCTAAGGCGAGGATACCGTCTGGAGATCTAGCGCTGCGCCGGCACGCACCTCGCTCCGGAATCCAAGTAAGCAATCCACATTGAGTGGCATTCTTGCACAGAGGCACATCATCTTTAGCTGGTGTAAGTATGATCGAGTACAGTCCGGAACATCGTACTTGATTCAATGGATAACAGGTGACGCAGTGTGGAAGCTTATGCATGATGGTCATATTTCTCACTGGTTTATCAGACTTACCGTAACAAACGTAGCTTAGTGATTGGCGTGCTGCAACTCTAGTTTGCTTATTATATCTTCACTAATTTTTTCCAGATTGCTTTTTGGCCTCCACTTCATTACCCCCTGTCTCTTGTTCTAATTGCTTAGTCGTGGGTTACGCTTTGACAACGCTTCCACTTTGCTGTCGGGGATTGTGGATCTTCTGCGCGACATGAAATTTTGTTGGTGAGTTTCTCCACACACACACACACACACACAAACACACACACACACACACACAATATTCTTTATCTGATATTCGGTGTTGCTCGCGATCACTTGTGAGAATCGCTGTGTTCGTGCCTGGGCGATACCGCGACAATCCCCATCACTGTGAGTTGCACCATATTTGTTTACCTGACCTCTCCATTGGCACATGTTTGCACCACAGTGACTGAAGTCCACAACTTCTCTCGTTCGGTGACTCTCTTATTTGGGGATGTGAGGGTTCCAGGATCACTGAAATGGCTTGGGGTGATCCTCATCGTGAATTTCTTAGATACCGACTAGAAAGGGTAAGAGCCATCCTCCACCTTATCCTCCCGTAACCACCGTTCACGTAGTTGCCTTTTCCTTTAACGTAATCGGGCATGCACATTCCTGAGCCTTGTGAATGGTATTACTCCGCATATCAATGCGGTATGTGGGGAGAATTCGACACTCTTGTGAACCTCATTTCAGTCCCCCAACTAACGGGGTATTCGTTATCCGACTCATTACGGCGGGGTCATTTGGTTAATTACAGCGCATTGATCATGCTGCTTCACGGTCTAGACAAACAGACTTATTCCACAGTATGCCTTACTCCTCAATTAGCGTGACTGGACCCAGCCGTACGCCTACGACACATTGCAGTCTTTGTCTACTCGGCCATTCGGATGGCTCGTTTCCGAATTCGACTGTTGGTCCGTGGTCCGAAGCCCTCTTGTTCCTCGAATATACAACTGGCTACAACTACTTATGATGCTGTTATTACTATTATTGTTAGTGTTATCGTTAGCACTATTTGTTGTTGGTGTTGTCGCTGCTGTTGTTGTCTCAGTGGTCGTGGTCCCAGTAGTTGTCATTATGGTCGTTGTATTTATAATTATGATAGAAGCATTGATAGCCATCAGTATCACCAATGTGCATTCACCTTACCCGAGCGTGAAAAACACCTCAGTTTATGTACCGTAATATAAATAAGACGAGATAGTACGCATTATAACATCCAAAAACACTGTTAAAAACTAGTAATGTGGTTCACGTTTTGATTCGTTCTCCGGACTGAGTAATTTAATGTTATTGCATTACTTAGATCGGAGAACGAATCAAAATGTTAACTACCAACCCTGGCTACAGATATTCCGAATCATTGCTAGTAATGTGGTGCTATCTATGGTATTATGAATGGCGTATGAGAACGTGCTTGGAGGGTAGGATAAGCGGAATGGGGACGGATAAAGAAAAACACCGCGCAGATGCCAATGAGGTACCACTTCGCCGTGTCAGCTAGTGTATCCAATCAAACACGTTCATCATCTTTTGGACCCATGCTTGGGAACCGGGAAACACCGGCCGATGCCAACTTCGAAGTAAGTGACTCCATTCTGCTTGGTCTTTCTTCTCCCTCTTCCATACAGACCACGGGCGCACAAGCAACGCACGTCGCGGGAGTCGGTGGAATAGCATGTGCAACACGTGGCCCAGCCATCGGAGCTTGTAGCGTGATATAACGGTACTGAGCGGTTCACTTCTTCCTGTATCGAATACGAGCTGCCGAATGCGATCATTGCTCAAGTGGTGTTCCCATTAAATATGAGCTAGACGGCGAAGGGAACGATGGTCAAACGTAGCTAGCCTCTTTATTTCTGTCGACCTCATAAGGCAGGTTTCACAAACACACAGAAGAGTTAAACGGATGGCTACCTTGTACATTCTACATTTCTGGGTGATAGTGATGTTGCGGCGGCCACACAGGTGGCGCAGATTAGCAAAAGCGTCTCGAGCTTTTACTGTATGATTCATCATCTCACCTATTCCACAGCCGCTACTATGGCTGCCGAAGTACGAGGGCAGAGCAATAAGTTTCCGGATACTAAGTACACCGATTAGATGCGGATGGCCTGGAAAGAAAATGGGAACTGTAATCGATTCTCAATATTATTCAGTGATTTCAACTCACAGAACCCTATATCAGTTTTCCAGCACAGCTCACGAGTCATGAGGATCGCTATCCTCTGGCTGTAATTATGGAACTCAGTCGATGTCACTGGTGTTCAATGATTTTCTGCGACTAAAAATGTGTTTTAAAGCGGCACAAGTGTTGAGCGATTGCGTGCTGCGTTTGGTGATGATGCACCCTCAAGAACCATCGAGTTTGAGTGGTTTGCAGGATGTAAGCGTGGCAGGTGGTCCCTGGAGGACGAGGCACGGTGTTGTCGACTTCTGAAGGCCACCACCGCGGACAACATTGCTGTAGTGCAAGCGATGCTGAAGAAGGACGTGTGGGTGACTGTGATGTGGCTGAGGAAAGCCATCTGCATCTCATCGGGAACAATCCACACTGTCCTACATGATAACTTTGACCTCAAAAAGGTTTGCACACGCTGATTACCCGCTCAGTTCAGTGAGGACCCAAAAAGCAACTCAGGTGTATTGGCGCCACGCAATGCTTGCTAGGTTTACTGAATACTGGTTCGAAGCAGCGAGTAGAACTTTCTATGTGTAGCTGCATCATTCGTCGCTCTTGGACATATACTCCTTATTTATCGTTCCGCTCTCTATAGTTTGCCTCTGCAATGTGTTTATCTAGGAGCTTCTTAAATTCGGACACTGAGTTCGCCTCTACTATGTGCTGCGGCAGGTCGTTCCAGACATTCACCACTCTGCGTTCAAAACAGAGTTGGTGAGCGACCCGCTTTAACTTTGGTACGATAAATTTATACCGGTCTCCTCGCGTGCAGCTTGGTGTGCGCAGATGAAGTAGTTGTCTCAACATGGGGTAATCACTCAGATGTAATATCCGGTGCGTCATGATGAGGTCAACCCTCAGCGGACGATAAGCTAGGGTGTACAGCCCTAGTTTCTTACATCGGTCTTCGTATGGCATACCTCGTAAGTTGGGAATCAGCCTGGTGGATACATGCTGCACTCGTTCAAGCTTTTATACCTCGCCCAGGGTGATGGGACACTACGCGGGATAGCCATACTCTAGCATTGGTCGTATTATCGAGACGAAGTGGCGAATAGCAATCTCTTCGGACCAAGTGCTGAAGCTGCGCCTGAGCGCCCAAATCATCCGTAGGCTGTTTTGGTACAGCCTATTCGTGTTGTCAAAGGACTTTAGGTCGCAGCGTGAGAGCACACCGAGGTCGCGCACGAAAGGCGCGGGATGCAACGGTTGACCAGCCACTGTGTACGTTCGGCTGTGCTCACACTTACCCAACCTCATAAATTTCGACTTGGCAAGGTTGATCGGAAGGTTAACCTCTGCAGACCATGTCGAGAGGCGGTCGAGGTCCCGCTGAAGTAAATCACAATCATTGAGTGTGCGGTTTACTTTCCACACCTTCAAGTCATCTGCGAACAACGCACAAGGTGATTGGAGTAGCTGAGGCACATCGTTTACATGGATCAGAAACAATATCGGCCCCAGTACAGTGCCTTGGGGCACGCCGCTGCTTGATGGATACCAGTCAGTTTGATGGTTGTCCACCTGGACCCTCCACTTTCGATCAACAAGGAAATTTTTGATCTATTTGTGCAGCGAACCACCAACACCGCACATCCTCAGCCTGTCAAGGAGCACTGCATGGTTAACCTTGTCAAAAGCCTTACTGAAGTCAATGTAAATGACGTCGACCGATTGGCCTCGGTTCAGCGCTTGTAACCATTCGTGCCTCCTCAACAGTAGGTTGGTGATGCACGAGCGACCTTTCATGAAACCATGCTGTGCGGGGGTCAACAGGCTTTTCGACTCGAGAAGCTGCAGTAGGCTCTTCTTCACGATCTCCTCGAGCGTCTTTGCCAAAACAGCGGTCAGGCAGATCGGCCGGTAGTTATCCACTTTGCTTGGGTTACTACCTTTCGGTATGGGCTTTACGACTGAGCATTTCCATTCGCCCGGTAACAATCCAGTGGATAGTGACCTGTTACACACTTCAGTTACAGAAGGCGTGATGATGGCCGATAGGGACTTGAGAATCAGTGGGTGTATACCATCTGGCCCAGCAGGCTTCGTCCCGTCAAGATTTGCTAGGAGCTTGCGTACATCCTCAATATTGCAGTCCAGGCTGTTAAGTTCGGCTAGAGCGGTATTCATCGAACTCGTTACAGACACCTGATCACTTGCAAATACGGAGACGTAATGCGCCGCCAATTTGGACGCACGATTTGCACTCGAGGTCATGGGCTGTCCTTCTGAGCTTTCTAACACTGGGATATTGGCTACAGGCTTCAGGCGCCGCTTCACGTATGCGAAGATCCTCTTGGAAGCAGTAATTGTCCCAAAAAGGCGATTGAGTTTCCAGAAGCGTTCCGAGCAATACGTTTTATAACGCAGTACTCTGGTTTATCAATGCTTTTCCAAGTCCATTATGAAAGGATTGTTATGTCGGAAGCAAGTTTGAGAACGTTAAATGTTTGGTTGCTGTTTGGGAGATCGTCAGTGGTTATAAGACCAGAAAGTAACAATGGGCTCACTGGACGACGGTTTCTGGGACGCCGCCTCAGGGATTCCCTCGTGAGCGCACTGTGACTAAGCAGATGGTAGCTGTGCTCGTGACCGAGACCGGTTCTATGGTTACTGTACCGCTCGTATGGTGACGCAGTCACCCGAGACTGGTATGCCACCCACTGTCTGCCACAAGGGTTGGAAGCTGTTGTCAGGTGTCGTCCGAGGATTCGAGCATGAGGGACCTTGCAGCACCTTGACAACACACCCGCACACAGGTCCCATGTCGTCGTAGGAGAACGCATCCAGTAGGTTGGTCAACTGCCTACAGTCCATATCTGGCTCCGTATGCCATTTGTATTCCCAAATGTCAAGCGCATGGTGCGTGGAATCCGCTACGCGTCTCCAGAATCTGCAGTAGAGGCCTTTATGGAGTTACCCGAAGTCTCGCCCACTTCGGCGTGGTCTAGCTGCTTCTCTAAATGGTTTCAACGTATGGAATTGTGCCTGAGCGCTGGTGGAGAGTACTTCG